GTATGACTTTGCCCAACAAATATAAGTGCAACAACATCGTACCTGTGGTTTAAGGCAGCGGTGAAGGTTCGCACCACAGAGAAATAGAGCAGCGCTGCACTGGGGTGGAGGTGGAGGATGCAATGCGGCGTTAGGGTCGAGGCTGTGGTGAGCGGACAATGCAATGTGGGTGGAGGCTGCGGTGGGGGTGGAGGGTGGGCGACTAGCATCGCGGTGGGCGACTAGCGTCGCGGTGGGGTGGAAGCTGCAGTGAGGTGGAGGTGCTGCGGCGGGGGTGTCACGCGGTGCGCGGTGGCGACGTGAGGGAGGGCGTCCGGAGAGTCCAAATGACGGTGGTAGGTGGTGGCCGCGATGCTGGAGAGTAAGGGGAGTGGGCGCGATGCTGGAGAGTAAGGGAGATACAAAAATGGTAGCCTATTCAAATGGAAAAACGGGGTTTCGACGTCGGTTATACCCACACCCGACGTTGAAACTCGTTTTATCTCCAGTCATATGTTTTAATCGATTGAAACGAGATTTAATCGATTAAAATAGTTCTGATCGGTCATAACTGGATTCTGATCGATCATCCTGACCCTTTAAGAGATTTTAATCGATTGAAACGTGTTTTTAATCGATTGAAAAAATTCTTATCGCTCATAATTAAAATCTGATCGATCACATTCGATTCTGATCGGTCATATTTGTATTCTGATCGGTCATAATGAGTTCTGGAGAGTAAGGGGAGATACAAAAATGGTAGCCTATTCAAATGGGAAAACGGGGTTTCGACGTCGGTTATACCCACACCCGACGTTGAAACTCGATTTATCTCCAGTCATATATTTTAATCGATTGAAACGAGATTTAATCGATTAAAATAGTTCTGATCGGTCATAACTGGATTCTGATCGATCATCCTGACCCTTTAAGAGATTTTAATCGATTGAAACGTGTTTTTAATCGATTGAAAAAATTCTGATCGCTCATAATTAAAATCTGATCGATCACATTTGATTCTGATCGGTCATATTTGTATTCTGATCGGTCATAATGAGTTCAGAAGGGTTTTCAACGTCGGGTGAGGGTATAACCGACGTCAAAAGCCTATTTTTCCACGTCGTGCATGCTAAAACGACGTAGAATGTGTCAAAATTCGACTTTCGACGTCGGTTGTGGACCAACCAACGTTGAAAGCATGTTCAACGTCGGCTAAGATGTAACCGACGTTAAACAGCGACGTTGAAAGTATATTTTCTAGTAGTGACAGCTGCTCAGATTCTGTGATTCTTCCGTATCTATGGGCGAATACAAATTTTTCTGATAGTTTTCTCTCGTCATTAGTCATATTTCCAGAAACGTGGAATGTTAGTGTTTTACACTTGACTTTTACGTTGCTTTAATATTATTATTTATATACTTTGTGCCTAGTTCCCTTGCTGATTTCCACCGTTGGTTGTTTATTTCTTATTTCTTGTGATTGGATGAAGTTTGACTAAAATGATATTTTCTTTTAGAATATAAGTTAGTAATGTTTTGTTTGATATTTTGGGTTTTTATTAAATTTCTGTAAAAATAGAGGTTTTTCTTAAACTTTCTAATCAAATGATACTACTTTTCTATGGATACGAACGTTGAACCAACTTTGCAAAATACCTAGTTAAAGTATGAATGTTTGTGGGAACATTTTGTTATGTTTTAATTCAACATGTATTGTCAAACAAAAGGATGAATCATTGTGAAAAGTTGTTTGTTTCTAAGATTTTAAACAATAATAATGCTTTTTAAGCCTTATTAGTTTGAATTTTGACTCGTTAATTTCTCTACATGATTGAATTGTAAGAATATTATGTGTACTAACAGTTATTTAATTTATGATTATTTTGTACGATAATTTTGTATATTTTGTAAGTTTATTTTTTATGAGTGAATTTGCTAATTTAGAGTTTCTTTTTTCTTTCATTGATTGTAAATGGGCTAAAAAGTCAATCTATATGGCGTTGGTCAATCTATATCGCGTTGTAGTTAATATTTTTTTTTAAGTTGATTTTCAATCAATATTAATAATATCTCCCTCCCATTAAATTGAAAAATGTTCTCGGTGTCACTGTTTGGAGAATCTCATGTTAGAATTTCAGGGTCTGTTTGGTCGGAAAAATGCAAACAGAAGGCTAAGGTTGCTAGGGCATGTAGTTTCTCCTCCGGGGTTTGTATGACTTCAGACCTATTCGTATGAATAATGACAAATTGTTCTTTCTTCTATATACACTACGGATGATAATGCTGGGTGATGGATCCGCCTACGAGGCTGTAATGAAAATTCACATCTACAAAATATGCTTTCAACGTCGCCATTTAACGTCGGTTAAAGCTGAGCCGACGTTAAATGCACTTTCAACGTCGGTTGATTAAAAAACGACGTAGAAAGTACATTCAACGTCGGTTCATCCGGAACCGACGTTGAATGTGTTTTCACCAAAAAGTTAGAGAATTGTCACTGGCGAGGTTCAAACCCGAGTACTTTAAAGTTGAAAGTTGATACTCCAACCACTAAACTACTGTAATTTTACGATAATAACTTACAAATTAATTATATTTATATACAAATAAATATATATTCCGTATAAATATATATTTATTTATATTTTCTGGAATGTGTTTTTATTTTTTTCAGCCAAAAATTCACTTAAGTTAGAGAATTGTCATCGACAGGATTCGAACCTAGTATTTTAGAATTGAAAGCTAATACTCCAACCACTAAACTACTTGTAATTTTCCGATAATAACTTACAGATAAATTATATTTATATACAAATAAATATATATACATGTAAATATATATTTATTTATATATATTTTCTGGAAAGTGTTTTTATTTTTTCAATAAAAAATTCACTTAAGTTAGAGAATTGTCATCGATAGGATTCGAATATAGTATTTTAGAGTTGAAAATTAATACTCCAACCACTAAACTACTATAATTTTTTGATAATAATTTACAAATAAATTATATTTATATACAAATAAATATATATCCATGTAAATATATAAATACAAATATATTTATATATTTTTATGTTGGATGTGAGGGCGCGATCGAGGGTGAAAGTGAGATTGACTCTCGTTTGAGTGAAAATACGTTAAAGCTCACGAAATTCACTCGTTCAAGCCTAGCTTGAGCGAAAATTGGTATTTTTCGCTTGAGCGAATGTGTCACTTGAGTGAATGATGCGTTTTTCAAATTTATTTTATATCATTATATAAATAAATTATAAATATTATATTACGTCATTAAATTACAAACTCATATATAGAGACTCGCTCACAAATTTGACATTAAATTTTAAAAACCCACTCGACACACACTTTCACCTTCGAGCGTGCCCTCACATCCAATATATAAATATATAATTATATAAATATATCAAAATATATAAATATATTTGTATTTATATATTTACACGGATATATATTTATTTGTATATAAATATAATTTATTTGTAACTTACTATCAAAAAATTTGAGTAGTTTAGTGGTTGGAGTATCAGCCTCCAACACTAAGGTCCTGGGTTCGAATCCATCGATGACAAAAAAATAATTTTCTAATGCTTTAAACTTAAAAAAAATATGATAAATAATAAAAATATAATATAAAAGAGAGAGGACCTAATAAAAATATAATATAAAAGAGAGGGGGATTTCTAGATAAATAGAGGGGTTGGAAAAGTTGGAAATAAATAAAAAAATTTAATTTGAAAAATCGGACTTTCAACGTCGGTTCTATTTAACCGATAACTTTCAACATCGGTTAAATAGAGCCGACGTTGAAAGTCTTAACTTTCAACGTCGCTCGATACAACGTCGGTTCTGAACCGACGTTGAAGGCCTTATTTGTAGTAGTGATTATGGGATGAATATAGAATTTTAACCTCATTTTAAATAATTGTACGGCATAATTTTAATTTTATTATTTATAAATTTAATATTATCTAGTTTAATTTATTTTTTATATTTAATTTTGTATTATTATTTGTTAATTTTGGCTCATATTAATAAGTCTTGTATTTTATTATTTAAATATAGTAGAATTATTTTTTTATTATTCAAAATATCCCCTTTATATAAACTGCACAGTAATGTAGAACGAGAACTTTGTTCAGAGTTTCAGGAAATCATTTTCTTCAACAACAAATATGTTTCTCTTAAAAAACACAAAATATTATTTTATTATTCATTACATAATAAATTTAGATGAACGAAAGAAATAAAATATTTAATTTCATATATATATATATATATATATATATTTTAACATGTAAATTTAAAAGTATTATTTATTAAAATATTTGAAAAATTGTAATTGTTTAAATATATTTTAAAAATATTTGAGTAATAATTTTAAGGAAAGTGATTCCACAAGTAAAAAAAATTGTACAATTTAATTAAAATTTTAAATTTTTTGAAATCATATAGTAGAATTATTATTTTTTATTATTCAAAATATCCTCTTTATATAAACTGCACAATAATGTAGAATGATAACTTTGTTCAGATTTCAGGAAATCACTTTCTTCAACAATTAAATATGTTTCTCTTAAAAAAACATAACAAAAATATTATTTTATTATTAATTACATAATAAATTTAGATGAACAAAAGAAATAAAATATTTTATTTCATGTATATATATATATATATATATATATATATATATATATATATCAAACCAAAAAAACAAAAGTGTAAATAATATATATTTTTTATTTCAAAAGAAGATAACTTAAGTAAGTGAACCTTTCTTGATTGGGCCTAATGGGCTTACTATGTAGAGCTGAAACTGAGATAACAAAGAAAAGAGAGAAATTGTGATTCTTGACCAACCTGTAGACCAAATGCTAATACTGATGAGCCCATGAGTAAAACCCTACTTTCAGATTAGGGTGCTTGTGTTGTGTTGTGTTGTGTTCGCACGCCTTGTTCGGTGCCGTGAGCAGCAAAGGTTCAGAATCGAATCTCCGAACATGGCGTCGAGCGATCGCACAGTGTTGCAGTTCTCTTTATCATCATCTTCGCAAAGCTTATCCGCGAAGGTCCACCCTCTCGTTATCTTCAACATCTGTGATTGCTACGTTCGGCGCCCTGACCAAGCCGACCGCGTCATTGGAACCCTACTCGGCTCCGTCCTTCCCGACGGAACCGTCGATATTCGCAATTCCTATGCTGTTCCTCACAACGAGTCTATCGAGCAGGTCCTGCACTTTGTTTTTTTTTTTTTTTTTATCAGTATTTATATTATCATAAATAGTGATTTTTACGAATCTGCACTTTGATAGCTGCTGATGTTACCTGGCCTTCTGTACATATGTGGAATTTAGTTACGCATCTGGGTCTCTGGGTCTGAGAAACGTGATTTTTATATGTATGTTGTTTGACTTTTATTTATGTATGTTGTTTGACTTTTATTTATTTAGTTAATGTTTTGATTCGTAGGATTGCATTAGCATTTAGATTTATGTTTTCTGGAACGTGTTTCATGCAGTTGATAGGTCATGTGTGACATTTTTCTCATTGCAGTTTCTTTCATGTGTTAGGCACTGTGTGGATAAACCCCTCAATAAGTATTTATTGAAGGGGAAAATAATTGTATAAGGTTGATTTGCCTTATTCCCAAGTTATAATCAACCTTAGAGGTTTTAAAAGAAATAAATAAAATCTATGAAGTAGACTATGCCAAGCAAATGTTAACACATGGAGTTAGGATAGAAAATTTTGTTATTCATGTGATTTTAATTACTATGCTTTCTGTTCTTGTTAATTGTTGCATAATAATTTCAATTTCTAACATCTCAGCTGGTGTGTCCCTGAGTCACTAACATTACTTTGGAAATTTGGTAAGCAAAGTTTGGATTGCTAGGAGGAGAGGTGTAATGGACTGAATAGTTGGCGTTATTTGGAATATATAAAACAGGGTGGAAGGGAAAATAGCCTAATCTAATTTATTTAATCATATCCTATCTAATTTAATAACACTGTTATTCCTTTTGATTGTCAAACAATGGAGTGAAATGAATTTTCTGTTTATTGAAAAATATCCAAATAACTCCCTTTCGATTTTAATTTTGTCCCACCGCTTTCTCATGAGGGTACTTGGCTCACATTATTCTGTATTTCTTTGCACATTCTCAAACTCAATCTCGAAGGACGTTAGAGTGATGTTCATTTATTAATTGAAAGTTGGTTTTATCTTAGAAAAATAATAATATTGTTATCCTACTGATAGATGAACTATGGCTTAGGGCCTCTTACAGGAAAAGATTAACTCCTTTCATTCCTTTTCATCTGTCATAATTTTTCTCTAGGAATTAAGGAGTATAATAATGTTCTTAATTTTATCCAAAGTGTATTTCGATTTCCTATTATATCCTTTATCTATGTTATTTATTAATTGTGAATGCAAGGATATAGTTGGTAAAATATAATACTGTCTGGAACTTTTAAATGTGTCACATAGGAACTAACTTTTTAATGTTTAGTTTATCTCCTTTGAGGCAGTTTTTTTATTCATGTTGAGGAAGTTGAGTTTAGTAATTCTCGAGTCAGTTATATTGAGTGAATTGCATAGATTTCGTCAAGTGAAAGGTTTGCATTTTAATATTAGGTTAAATTTATGATATTGGGTACCCTGTATAGTTGACATTCATATTTAAAGCCTTGTGAAAAAAGTTGCATAGTTAAAATTGACGTTTGACTCCATTATTGAACTTTGCCGTTGTCTTTTTAATTCTCTTTTCTGGTTGTAGAGTCTATTTCTTCTTAAATATCAGCTAAATTATTCCTTTCTTACCGAAAAAGGTTTTGATTTTTTGTCCTATTCTTTCAACAGGTTGCTTTGGACATAGAGTATCACCACAATATGTTAATATCCCACCAAAAAGTGAATCCAAAAGAAATCATAGTTGGATGGTAATTGCAATTCTTTGTAAAACTTAATTGTGTTAGGTTATTGGCATTCTCAATGAAGTGGTGGCCAACAGAACCTTGAAATCCATATGGCCTAGATTAAAGATGTTTACTATGGTTTCTGAAAGTGTGGTTTTATAATTATTGTAATTAATTGGAGGAAAATTGCAGTATTTTTTCTCTATATTTGACTTGGACTTGTAAATGTTGGTTTTGTTTCATCCTGGTGGAAAGATAAATGTTTTTCTACACGGGCTTCAGGGCTGGGTATAAATAACTGGATCCTGTGTTTATTGATCTTTTTTTCTAGGAAAAGCAACGCAATGTTAACTTTTGTCATTTATGTAGGTATTCTACTGGTCTTGGAGTAACTGGTGGTAGTGCATTAATCCATGAGTTTTATTCTCGAGAAGTACAAAATCCTATTCATTTGACTGTTGATACTGGATTTACAAATGGAGGGGGTACCATCAAGGCATATGTGTCTCACAATTTATCTCTTGGAGATCGGCAAATTGCTGCACAGTTTCAAGAAATTCCATTAGATCTTCGTATGGTTGAAGCTGAGCGAATTGGATGTAAGTAATTTTGGGCTTATCTTTTCAATCACCCTCTATCTTTCCTTTTGATCCTGGCCTGTACTTTTCTTTCTTATTTAATATATGTCTTGGATGCATTTGAAGAGATAAATGTTTTAACATTCCTTCTCCTTAATCAGTAACATGTATTTTTGAGAGTTGTATTCTAGAAAAATATTGCTTCGTGTGGAGTATTTTGTGTTTATTTTAGTTTATAATTATGCATTAAACTCATGCATTGCATTGTGCGGAAAGGAAGTAGTCTAACCTACAAACTCTGATTTGCTTCATCTTCCTTCTCTAGTTCTTGATGAAGTAATTTTTAATGGCATACCTTTGAAGTCTAAAGTTATTCTTTAGTCTAAAAAGGTATCCTTCTCTGATTTGAAAACTTCTAATTTCACAAGATGAAATTGTTGGAGGTATATCTTCGTAATCTTTGTTGTCCTTTGATGAGTCATCAAAATGAAGATTTCTGTCCTATTCCATCTGGGGTTGCTTCAGGAACGACAAATTATCTCTCTGTTTTTGCCTTTTAGGGTATCCATTGTGGATCATTTCATGCCCCTTTGTTATATGTTATGTTGGTGGACTTTCTCTTCGATGAAAATTCCTAGTTAATACGGTTCATATGTTTATATTCTTCGCATGGAAGAAAGTTCCTTGAAGTGCTTTGATATAGATTTTTCTAATCTTTATTCTTCACTATGCAATGACATTGTCTTTTCAATAGCATCTTTCAACTAACGTTGTAATTGTCTTTCTAATGGATCTAAAATGTTCTTTATTTTGAATGGTGATGATAGATTTTTCTAATCTCTATTCTTCACTATGCAATGACATTGTCTTTTCAATAGCATCTTTCAACTAACTTTGTAATTGTCTTTCTAATGGATCTAAAATGTTCTTTATTTTGAATGGTGATAGCTAATTTTATGTTTATTTCGGTTATGGCAGTTGATATGCTTAAGGCAACTGCAGTTGACAAAATTCCCTCAGATTTAGAAGGGATGGAAGCATCAATGCAACATCTACTAGTCTTGATTGATGATATCTACAAATATGTAGACGATGTTGTGGTATGATATTGTCTTCTTTGATCCTTCACCTTGTCCTCTGAGATCTTATTAAATAGTTTTTCATCCCAGGAAGGACGAGTTGCACCTGACAACAAAATCGGGAGATTTATATCTGATGCTGTAGGTTCCCTTCCTAAAGTGTCACCACCAGTTTTTGATAAGCTTGTGAATGATTGCTTGCAGGTAAGAGTACGATGTTTTAGTGGTTTACTGGGATTTCATATTAGTTTTGATGAAGTTTGTTTAACGTGAATGAACAGATATTATTTTATTGGTATATGGCTTGCCTTTCAATTTTTGGTTGTTCTGACACGGTGTGTTTCATCCGTTTCAGGATCACTTGCTTTTGCTATATTTATCCAGCATCACAAGAACGCAGCTTAGCTTGGCGGAAAAATTGAACACAGCTGCTCAGATTCTGTGATTCTTCCGTCTCTTTATTGGGGAAGACAATTTTCTGATAGTTTTCTCTTGTCATTAGTCATATTTCCAGAAACGTGGAATGTCAGTGTTTTACACTTCACTTTTACTTTGCTTTAATATTATTATTTATATATTTTGTGCCTAGTTTCCCTTGCTAATTTTAATGTAACGAGAGCCAATGCGTTCCTCCGTTGCCTTTTTATTTCTTATTTCTTGCTATTGGATGAAGTTTGACTAAAATGATATTTTCTTTTAGAAGATAAGTTGGTAATGTTTTGTTTGATATTTTGGGTTTTAATTAAATTTCTGAAAAAATAGAGATTTTTCTTAAACTTTTTAATCAAATGATACTACTTTTCTAAGGATATGCACGTGAACCCAATTTGCAAAATACCTAGAACATTTTGTTATGTTTTAATTCAACACGTAAACAAAAGGATGAATGATTGTGAAACGTTGTTTGTTTCTAAGATTTTAAACAATATTAATGTTTTTTAAGCCTTGTTAGTTTGAATTTTGACTGGTTAATTTCTCTATATAATTGAATTGTAAGAATATTATATGTACTAACAGTTATTTAATTTAAGATTATTTTGTACGATAGTTTTGTATATTTTGTAAGTCATACAATTATTTTGATTATTTTTTATGAGTGAATTTGCTAATTTAGAGTTTCTTTTTCTTTCATCGATTGTAAATGGGTTAAAAAGTCAATCTATATACCTGGATTGCTATAGCGTTGGTGTGGTTAATATTTTTTTTAAGTTGATTTTCAATCAATATTAATAATATCTCCCTCCCATTAATTGAAAAAAGTGCTCGGTGTCACTGTTATTAACAGTTACATAGATTGGAGAATCCCATGTTAGAATTTCAGGGTCTGTTTGGTCGGAAAAATGCAAACAGAAGGCTAAGGTTGCTAGGGCATGTAGTTTCTCCTCCGGGATTTGTATGACTTCAGACTGATCATTCATTTGATTTATCTGCAGAATAAATTATGAACCTATTCATATGAATAATTGCAAATTGCTGTTTCCTCTATATGCATTACGGATGACAACGCTGGTGATGGGTAGGCCTACGAGGCTGTAATGAAAATTGTGGGATGGTAGAGAATTTTAACCTCCCATCTATTTAGGTTCATTTTGTATAACCGGATAATTTTAAGTTTATGAATTATTTATAAATTTTATATTATTCAGTTTAATTTATTTTTATTTATTTTTGGTATTTAATTTTATTTCATTATTTATTAATTTTAACTCATATTAATAAGTCTTGTATTTTGTTATTCAAAATAAATATTAAATACATATAGATAAATTATAAAATTAAAGACTAAATTCATTAAATAAAAAAAGAGATATTCAATTAAAAATTATAACACTTAACTTTTCTTTTCTAGATAAATTATTATTATTATTATATTTTATTTTGATTTTTTATAAATTGAAATTAAAAAAAAAAAGAATAATATAAAAATCAGTGTGTCTATTTATTATATAACATGTCAAATATTTTTTAAAATTATTATGCTTTAACTTATTCAAACAAACTAAAATATTTAATCCGCAAACCTTGTACGACCAATCCACTTAACCCCAGCTTACGAAATGTGAAACAATACTCATTACCATCCAAATATGCATTGATCCTCAGGATTGATTGTATTTTCTTCGTAATCAATACTCATAATTGTTTGGAATGTTAAAAAAATAACAAGTTGTGACACCAACTTGTGCTCTCAGTATTTATTTATCTATATTCACATTCTAATTTCAAGATATCCCATTTGACCTAAGTTATGTACATATTATAGATTCACAGCATTGCTAAGAATTTGAACATAAATACGATTTGTTGAGTCAGTATTCACCAACTCACTTTTTCTCTTATTAGCAGCGCTAAGACCATGAAATAAGATGTTTTTTCCTAACGCGGTTTAACGCTGTAAAGGTAGTGATTTTCTTATTGTGCTTTTGTATGTATATATATAAGAAATGTATATTTACATTGAAGAGAGAAATGTCGAAGTGCTTGATGTTGTTTTGTAAGTAGCGAGTGTAGAAAAGCAATGAGAAAAGTGGAGACAAGAAAGTACAAAAGACACGGCTGATAGAAAGTATTTCATGCTACTAATTCTTATTCTAAACCCTCTCCTTAGACTTCCATAATAGACAATATTTTACTGACAATGTCACTGTAATATAATCAAATATTTATACAAAAACTGTTACTGTCGAACTGTTTTTCGTATTAGTCCAAAAATATATGATCAAATAGTTTTATGAACTGTGGAGTCAGGATCATGAGAGAAATGTGTGTCAGTAAAACTCTCGAAGGAAAAAAATAGTATAATAAAAAAAATATGAGAAAACAAATATATGTGCTGATAAAAAATTATTAAACGATACATTTTATTTATGGAAATAAAAATACTGAATTAGGAAAGATACATAACTGAATAACAAATTGAGTAAATTTGAATTTGCACAAGTATATAAACTTATTACATACTTTTGTTTTGGTTTGGTCTATTTGATCCTTGATTTTATACATAAATGCAATTTTGATTTGGAAATTTTTTAATTTGGTTTTTAGAACTGATTTTATTTTCTATTTGTCATGGAATTAATTCTTTTTTACTGAGTCATCTATTTGAAGCTGGATCACTTGTAAAAATTATTAATTAATTTGGCCTATTATATCTCACTTCAGATTCAATACAGTGGGATATGTAGATTCAGAAAGGTAAAAACTTGGATAAGATATCAAGATGTTTGTTCTCTTATCATAATTATAATTTATCTTAATAATATATTATATATTTAATAAAATGTAAATTACTAAAGTAAAACTCCAAATTAGTTCAAGAATAACACCCCATAATAGTGTTTCATCAAGAAATTTGGATTTACATATTTAAATCTGATAGCTCAATCAATATATAGATATTTAAATTGTGTAGAAATCTTAAATGATCAGACAAAATATCCCCTGAATTACCTTACATATCATTACAGTTTTTTTTTTTTAATATAAGATTTTATCTACAACAAAACATTTTTCTTAGCAGTATGAATTTTATTACTCAATTAACACTGAGGAGCTCAATGATACCATAAATTTTATTTCTCATTCTGTCTAACCTTTATGGGATCTTGGACAACTAGAAAAGACAGAGCAAAAAACATTTTTTATATAAAAAATAGTTAAAAATTATAGTTTATCAATCAAGTAGACCAGACAGTGGATGGTTTTTGGTAGAAAACATCATATATCTATTTTGATTGTTAAAATTGGTAAGAATAACCGTGTTTGGTTATATGAATGTATTGTCTATTTCCAACATTAATGATATTAGCTTAGAAAAAGAATAAAAGACACTTCTTCCTATCATCATTTTTCCCTTCAAAAATCTTTCTACTCCTCTTCCACAACAGCATTGATTCGAAACTCAAAAAATTATGTTAATTGAACATGTCGTTTGATTTTCATTGATTCCGTTGATTTCCATGGTGTGCTACCTTTCTTAAGCATTTCGATAATAACTAAATTAAGCAAAATAAGAATTTCACATCTTTTGCATGTTGATTCAAAATCTGCTGTGACATTTTATCAGCGAGAAGAAATTAATAATAACTGTTTTTCATCTAAAAAATTGAAATATAAAATTTTCTAGTCGAACCAAGTACTACTTGAAAGATGGATGAAGCAGTTCTTAAATGTCGTGTGGTTGACTGTGAGAAAGACTTATTAGCTTCTCGATGAGGTATGTTTGTGGACAAATAACTAGATGCCTAACATTTAAAGTTGGGATAACAACTTCAGTCCAAAAATCCTACATGTTAGGGTAGCCAAAGCCCTTGTTCTCAACTATGAACAGACAAAATGATACTCGTAATTGTAGACACATCCTCGGGAATTGTAGGAAGTGCACAAAGAAAGTGTCCTCTGTCCTTTCTTCACTACCAAACTCTCTATTATTTGCATATATTACTGCTATTTGATCATACTGTGCTTTATTTATTGTTCTATTTGTGATGCCAAAAGCATTTTTGTATGTAATAGCTAATGGATAAAGACTATTAGAAGCTCTTATTCATACATAGTAAGCATCAAACTTTAAATTCACATCATGTTTACTAGTCTTTAGGTTCATTATTCTGTAGTTTCTGTAGTGTTTGAATGCAATGCAATGTCTTATAAATCTCGAGTACTTTTCAATTCAAATCTCAGATCACATAGAAGGACACATATTACTAGCATAAATATCAGAATATTTCAATCTTCATCACGCGTTTCCCTCATCCCTAGACTTAAAAGCTGTAATTCTAATACATTGTAGCCGATTAAACTAGACCAAAAGAAGAAGAAGGAAAAGAAGTTTGAGTCCCTATTTGAAAGACAATTACTAAAGACAAGAGAAAGTGACATAAGAAAAGCCGAGTTACTCTCCTTTTTGTAGGTCATGAATTGTGCCTCCCAAATCTCTCAATTGGGTGGCTTTGTTGTCTCTAGTATATGTTTCCACATCTTAAAAAGAAGTTTTCCATGAAAACTAGTCAACCTAACTTGTATCTATGTCAGTCTTTACTGTGATCACAATAGTCCAAAAGAGATCAAACAATGTGCAACTTTGATTTTCACTTCCCTTGCCCCTCCTTCAGACTTAAAATATAGAAATACTTTAGACCTTTCTTTATGAACTTTAGCAGACAACCACTTCTTTTAAAATCAAATTTTGGCTTAACTCACACGTCTTGATGGAACTGGATTTATCTCTTAAGTATAATTGGTGAAACAAACAGCATTGAAAATTACACAATGATAAATAACAACCACTTTATATATTATAATAGTACACAATTTCGCAAGAAGTGCACACTTTACTGAAAAACACATTAGTATTGTGTCTAAGCTGATTAGCACGAGAAGTGAAAAACATTTAATTATGTTTCCATACCATAAACTGCATAAATAGTTTAATCACTATTGATGAAACTTACATGTTGTCTGCCCGGACCAAAACGTTGAATAGTGGCTGCTTTTACGCATGTCTTATCTTTTCCATTTCTTTATTAGCACAATAAACTAGGCTAAATGAAACTACATATGTTGTTCAATATTCATTGCTCTCATATTTCCTAAATTCAACAGGACAGAAGATGAATTATAAAACATAATGGGTTGATCTATAATGCCCCAAAAGCAATGCAAAAAACAAAGAGGAAAAAGACAGACTTTGGTTCTAGATTATTGAGTAATGGTATTATAAAGGCACACGGACTGAGATCTTTATGGTTCAGAAGCTCAGAGCTAAGGCTTTCAGTTCAGAGGCCCAGAATCACTGAGAGGCTTCTGGTAGTGAAATTATATGGAAGAGGGCATGTCAGACTTTTGTTTTAGAGGTGAAAATGTTGGTGGGAATAGAGATAGTGCTACTGGCACAAAGTGTGGGCGTTGGAATCCCACAACTGAACAGGTTAAGGTTCTGACTCAACTGTTCAGTTCCGGACTCCGCACCCCAAGCACTAATCAGATTCAAAAGATCTCTAATCAGCTCAGTTTTTATGGTCAGATTGAGAGCAAAAATGTGTTCTATTGGTTTCAGAACCATAAGGCCAGGGAAAGACAAAAGCGTCGCAAGGTTGATAAGGATGTGAATTGTAGTGAAAACTCTATCTCCATCAATTCTTTCACACAAAGTAAGTACCATATCAGATTCATTTGCATTACCACAATCTTTTTCAAACACCAAACATAACACAACTTGTTTGGTTGGTGGTCTAATATGTTATTTGATTTGTTTCTATTAGCACATTTTACACAGCTATATCACGTTTCTGAGCCCAAGAGAGTGATTGAGACCCTTCAACTCTTCCCCTTGAACTCTTTTGGTGAGTCAGAATCAAAGAACAAGAGGATTCATGGAAGTGACTGCGGGGAGAATACCATGTTTTCATACACAGAGGAGGAACAAATGGATCATCCACCATTAGATCTTTGCTTGAGTTTTATGTGAACATGGGAATCTTTTTGGGTTGGTGGTTAGAAAAGAGAAGGTTTTCTTTAATACACTCTTATTAGGTTTAGCATAAACAAAATGTATTTTGGAAAGTGAAAAAAAAAAAAACTAAGTATCTTGATATTACCTAGTGATTTTTAGTTAAATATTGGAAATTCGTGGACATTCTTCTCTGCATGTTCGTTTATGTTGGTTTCTTTTTTCTGTGAGTATACTCTGTTAGATTTAGATATTTTCAATGCTTGGGATGCTAATAACTCGCATCCTCATGAGAGATGTCACCTTGGAATGCTTAAAGGATACGAAGAATGATTTTACTGTATACGTTTACAAATGAGTCATGCCTCGGGTCTGTTTCTATCTTTAAATGTGATGAATCTTATACACTTAAATATGTGTGATTAATGATATAAAATGTAATCATGTTGGATATGTCATTGATTGTCATATACAACTAATTGAAAATACAGTAGTGTTTAAGATGGAACAGATAATTTCATAACATCTTTTATTAAGAGCAAGATTTAATTGTGTTGTTTAAAAATAAAATTGAATATTTTATTATAAATTTTATATTTAAATTGCTTACAATTTAATCAAAATTATTTATTTAATTTTTTTTTTAATTTTAAGAAATTTTATCTATTTTTAAACATCTCACATATATAACTCACAATAAAATATTTATTTTTAAATAATTCTTGATAACAATTCTCTTTAAAGATATAACAATTCTCTTTAAAGATATTATAAGACTAACAACATATATTATCGTGATTCGCATGCAAAGAATCTAGCCATAGTAAATACATTTCTTCTTTTTCACACAAACATTCCAATAGAATTTTCTTTGATTATTAGTAATTATCTTTAAAATATGCGTAACAATGTGAAAAAGATAAAAAGCAAATTTAAGGAATGTAAAGAAAGCTATGATAAAAAAAAATGAGAAATTGAAATTAGGAACAAGTTTTTTTTTTGAGGAATATGTAAGTTAGACTCTTTTATAAATGTAAACTTTATGACTCCTTCGTTATATACACCGGTAATTAAATTGGCAAATGAGAACAAAAAGAATATTCAGCCCATAACTATTTGTCTTTTATTTAGTGTATGTGTGATTATGTTTTGAATTTCTTGATATTATGTACTGAATCAAAGCCTAATTCTATATGGGTTATGAAAATCATAATATCCTTGAAAGATTTGTTGATCAGAATTAAAAATGGATGCTAAAAATATAACGTCCCACTCTAAGTACAAGTGATTGCTGACTAATTCTATATATTAACTAATCAATTTGGCTAAGTGTTAAAATTTGCTTGTATTTGTATTTCTGTGTATTTATTTTTTGTGTATGATTATGGATTATGTAATGTTTGTGTTTTTTTTTTTGGTTAAATACTGTGAATAAAGTCAGTCGAACTAAGCTAAGTCATTGATTTATTCACAAAACTGCATTGGTTCATGTCTGATCACACCCACGCGATGGCATGTCCAATCTAATAAGAACTTAATTAATTTGTTTGTTTTACCATATTTTCTTACAATTTTATTAATAAATTATCCTAAAATCGATAGTTATAAAACATATTCCCTCCAATCTCGAATATAAGAAAACATAAATCATGTATATTGTTCAAAATCTCAACTAATTTCATTTTATTCAATGAGATAATCTCCAAAATGTCTTTCATTTAATTACGATTCTATCTTCAATATTTTTTTTATTATTTGCGTCAAATTTTGATGAAATAAAAAATATTATTTTTAAAGAAATTTATAAAGTAAAATGATTTTAATATTTTTCAACTAGTATAAATTAATTGTTGTTTACTGGAAATAGCTAACCTAGTTAACAGGTGCTGGAAGTTTCGATTTAAGATTGGGCTCGAGTTCCAATAGTTTGAAGAGAAAAGAATGGGCCGTAGCACAAAAGTCTGGGGATTAAAATAATAAGGAGAAGAAAAGGAAAAGGAGGTGAGTGAAAAGCAAAAGAGGAGAGAAGAGAGGTAGAAGAAAAGAATTGAAGTTGGAAGACGAAGCCAGTCAAGACGAAAGGAAGAAATCTGAGTTTCCGGAATTGCAATGGACGTGATAAAGACGCAGCAAATATCATCTCGACCAATCGAGAAGGTCGTGGTTCATCCGCTCGTGCTTCTTAGTATCGTCGACAACTACAACAGAGTGGCCAAGGACACGCGTAAGCGCGTTGTCGGCGTTTTGCTCGGTTCCACTTTCAAAGGCACCGTCGACGTTACCAACAGCTACGCCGGTTTGGATCTGTCTTTCTCTTTTGTCCATTGCCGCATTCCTTTACTCAATCGTTATTGGAGTTGTTGCGAGGATTTATGCCCTAATTTTATCGCGGTAATGGGTAATCATTCAGTCAATCGTTATTGGAGTTGTTACGAGGATTTGCGCCTAATCTTATCGCGGTAATAGGTAATAGATAATTGTTGTGAGATTGTCCGAATTTGTTGACCCTGGAATTGGAATAATGTAAAATTTCGACACTGAAACCTCCTTCGTAGTACTTAAATATCTTGAACATTTCTGTACGGTGTTAATAACTTAATCTTAAAATTACATAATATAATTTTAATGTCTAGCTAGGTTTATTTAGCTTGGTTAGTATGATTCCAATTACCATGGAGACCTCAAAATGTTGACTAAATACAAGAAAGTCGAGAGAGCATCATTTCGTTGATGAATTCTAGTAGATTTAGTGGCTCTGTGTCTACTCCGTTGACCATGCGGGCACCTCCTCCTCCTCAACCTTTGTTAATGTAAAAAAGCCCGATCCTAGCTAGGATCTTGATCTTGACAACATTGCTCACTAAGTCATATTATTTACAGTGCCGTTTGAAGAAGATGACAAGGATCCCAGCATCTGGTTTCTTGATCACAATTACCATGAATCAATGTTTTCCATGTTTAAAAGAATAAATGGTACGAGTTTGGAGAATTCTCTTTTCCTTGATTTTATTTCAGTGGAGTATCTCTAATCTAATTGAACGCGTATTACAATTATTATTATTATTATTATTTTGGTTTACAGCAAAGGAGCATGTTGTGGGGTGGTACAGCACTGGTCCAAAGCTGCGTGAAAATGACCTTGACATTCATGGCTTATTTAATGAGTATGTTATTGATCCAAATCCTATGTATAATAAGTGTTACACTTAAAACTGTTGCAGCTATGTTCCAATCAATTTTTATCCAAATTGACCACACTTAAAATTGTTGCAGCTATGTTCCTAATCCTGTTCTGGTTATTATTGATGTTGAACCCAAGGAATTGGGAATCCCAACAAAAGCATATTATGCCGTGGAAGAAGTCAAAGAGGTAAAAATTAAGTCCTTTATATCTGTGATAGAAATTCTGTATTTCTGTTCTTATCTTTTTCAAAGTAATCCTGTTTTCTATGATGGTGGGAGAGGAGCTAGCGTTTGCTCAACACTAAGTTAATAGTCAAAGAAAGTGACATAATTTGTTCTGAGTACAGAATGCCACCCAAAAAAGTCAAAAGGTTTTTGTTCATGTGCCATCAGAGATTGCAGCTCATGAAGTTGAAGAAATAGGTATTTCATGCTATTGAACATAAAACTGCTGTATTTTTTTTTTTCTCTTGGATTTTGTTTGTTTATAATCTTTCTAAGTTGAAATTCTGATTTTTATCCATACAGTTGTGTAACCAGTTTGTCTTATTTTATTCTTCTTAACCCTGTGCAGGAGTGGAACATTTGCTTAGAGATGTGAAGGATACAACCATTAGCACCCTTGCAACAGAGGTTTTTTTTTTTTTCCCCCTTTTAACTTATCCATATTTATTAATTCCTTTCAATTTCTGTTCTTTTTTCTTGTTAATTTTGATTTTGTTTTTCCACTGTAATACTTTTGTGGTACTTTTAAGCAAAAGAATTACTGCCCAGTGTTGACAATGTAATGTTTACTTAGGTAAGTGCAAAACTTACAGCCTTGAAGGGTTTGGATGCAAGACTTAAAGAGATAAGGAGTTACCTTGACCTTGTTATTGATGGAAAGCTTCCATTAAACCATGAAATCCTGTACCATCTGCAGGTTTGTTTCTCATATTCTTAGTAAATGGCCCCATTATTGTTATCAATTTGTTTAAGAATCTTGATTAAGTATTTTCTGCTATTTCTTAGTTTAATTAAGAACCTTTTGTCAAAATCTTGCAAAAGATGTGATGTGAGATTAATGGTGGAAGACATAATTACTTAGAGTAATAGAAGTATTTTTTTTCTTATGCTACATTATTCTTTCTCACCATTTCATTTCTAATTGCAATATTTCAGGACGTGTTTAACCTGCTACCCAATCTTAATGTTGCTGATCTTATCAAGGCGTTTGCAGGTTATGATTTGTAGACTTGTTTTTTTCAATATCATATTTTTCTATAATATCCCTTTTAAATTGTTGATCTTTTTTATGTAGTTAAAACAAATGATATGATGCTGGTCATATACTTGTCGTCTCTCATTAGAAGTGTAATTGCACTCCACAACTTGATTAACAACAAGGTTAGATACACTACCCTAAGTTTTGCTGCAAGTATATTTTACTTTGTGATTTTTTATCATGTTCTGAAAATAGTAATTGTGGCAGGGTTGGAGATAAAATTAGTCTTCCATTTTTATATTCAAGTTTTGTATTAGATATGCTAGGCACTTGATAAGATTAGGGGTGTTCACGTGTTGCTTTGGATTTTTGGACTTGAGGAAAGTGAAATCCAAACTAATTAATTTTATTGGTTTGATTTTACATTTTTTTTAAATTGCACAATTCAAACTAAAAGTTAGTTGGTATGGATCAATTAACTCCACTTCTCCTCAAATGTGCAAAATATATTTTTAAAATAGAACATACATTATTTTGTCAAAAGAATTCATACATAATGATGTGTGAACTACATATTTTATTGCAATTAACTCGCATTAACTAAATAATAGCAATTTATACACACACCCCACACACAAATTGTACTATAAAATTCCATGTATAATTAATAATAAGAAATTTATGATACTGGTTTGATTCAGGTTAGATTCAATTAGGTTAAAAATAACCAAACTATTCACCATTGTGTTTGATTATTTTGATTCAAATTGAATTCAATTAGGTGAAAATATAAACCAATTTAATTGGTTCAGTTTGGATTCTTGGATGGATCCCAAACTAATGAACAAATACACCTTACTGGGTATATAGATTATATGTATGTTATGAATGACTATTAAGTTTTTCTGGTGAAAGATGTTGGTAAATCATCACTGTATACTGTGTTTCATGTCTTTATTTATTGGAAAAAGTTTGATAGACAACCCTCATTTTGATAACAACTATTACACAACTCCATTTAATGATTAGTTTTTAATTATTTTTTATCTATTCATGATTATTATGTTAATATATGGAGGTGTCTATTAGATGTTTTATTCAAAAGAGAGGTTGTCCATGTATCATCGTCCTTATTTATTGGAATGTGATTTCAGATGCTCAACAAAGAGCATGAACGAGCAGAAGACTCGAAAACGGTTGCAGTGCCGAGTGCAGCTGCATAAGTTTTGACGGATTGTGTCTGTCGAAGCTTAATGATCCATTTATGCCGTTCCTGTGCTCCCATGTATTTTACTCTTCAATACGTAGCCCATTTTCTTTTGTTTGGTAGCTTTGCTAACTGCCCTTAAAAAATTTGATATTATAAACAAATTAAGATATGAGAAATGAATCGTTGCTCTTGTAATTTTTGCTGTTCTTTAATTAACCTGCATCCACTGAATCCTTTGTACTGTGTTGAGTTGCAACCTGGATGGAATCATATAACATGGTATGATATAATTTAGAGTGGTGATATTTTGACAACCAGAAATCATACCACCCTTCAAATAACTCACTTTTATTAATATAATAATCTATAAAATGATTGAATAAAAATAAAAATAAAGCAAAACTATTATTATAATATTAAAAGAGAGTTGTTTATAGGAGTTGTATGGATTTGGGTTGTCAAAGTATCATTTTCCTATAATTTATGGAGAAGATTGAACTAGGGCCTATGCCTATGACCTGCTAATATCTAAGTATCTGTGAAATGGGATGGTAAATTATATAGCATTGTTTTCAAATTTGGACTTGTCCGTTTTAATTGGAAATTCTATTTTTTTTTTCCTTTTGAAAAATCAGAATTTTATTTAAATAGATATAAAATTAAAAAAAATTGATTAGACTTTTGGTTAGATAACTTTTGATAAGATAAACTATCATTTTTTTTTAAATCTTGAGACAATTTATTCATTGTAATTTATAATGGTTATGTTACTAATTTATAATAGTAACTGGTTATATTTTTTTCTCTAAACAGATTATTTATAATGAATTTATTATATATTTATACTATTTAAAATATTATTTTATTAAATTTGACCAAATTTTTTTATTAAATCTATTCTTTGATTGTGAAGTGACGTGTTTAAAAACATTCTTATTTAGATTAAAACATTCTCGTGTTCATTGTAATTGTTTTCAAGAATTTATAATTTTTATAATAAAAATAAATAACAATAACACCGTTCAATATTTGATTGTTTTGTTAAATAATTTAAAAAAAATATTTGATTATTAACATATTCAAAATTTAAAATAAAACCTTATTAACGAAGGAGACTAAAATTGCGAGACTAAAATTGCGATACAAAAATTTGAAAATCAAAATTATATATATTTTGTGAAATGTATGCACCAAAATTATAATAAAATAGAATAAAATTATAGATTTTGTGAAATGTTTTTTTAGAATAAAACATTCTTAGTTAAATAGAAAACATTTTATCATTCATAGAGTAATAAAACAAAACGCCTATTCACAAATAAAAATTAAAGACAAACTAAATATAATAGAAACCATAAATAGTTAATCCTATTAACAATAAGACATTGATGGTAGTCCATAGTTACTTAATTTTTTTTCTATATTTTCTTATAAATATTATTAATAAATTATCGTAAAATCAATAGTTATAAAGCATATTCTCCTCCAATCTCAAATATAAATCATATACATTGTTTAAAATGTGAACAAATCTCAACAAATATTATTTAATGAAATAATCTCCAAATGTCTTTCATTTAATTACAATTGTATCTTCAATAATTTTCTTTATTCATGATGTCAAATTTTGATGTAAGAAAAAAAGAATGAGCCGTTGTATAAAATTCTAGTCTGACTTCTTACTATATCTTCATATTTTTTTGTCTGCACACAGCAATATCTTATGTATTTTTAATTTATATGTTCCTACCTCCTTTCTTTCCTTTCTTCTCCTGGGAGACTATATTGCCGCCACACCATTCCTGATGCAAGTGGATGACCGATTACGGTGACTAACATTTTATAATTAATTATTATATATAAAAATATATATATTAAATAAAATATTCAGCATGTTTAATATTATTAATTTAATTTTAACTTTAAAAAATAAAATTTATTTCATTATTTTTTATTTTTAAAAATGAATTTATAATTTTTTTATAATTTTTAAAATTTTATTTTATATTTTAAAATTAAATATCATAAAATATTAAAATAGGTAATTAATTTCTAACAAATAAAAAACTTTATATCAATATTTTATATTTTTATACTACATTATACATATAAATTTATTATAATAATAAACAATAATAATAAAGAAAATATATTTTTTTCTTTATTTTTATAAAATTATTATGAGGTATCTCTTTTATATTTTTGTTTCTTGTCTTGTGCCTTCAATGTGAACAAAAGAAAAAAAAATAAAAACTACAAAAGTAGAGAAAAAAATAATAATTTTTATGTTATAAAGATGAAATTGTAACAAAAAAAATTGAAAACTAAAAAGGAAAAACTTACAAAGAGGTTAAATCATGAAAGAGAAAATATGAAAGTGAATTACTGGTAAAAAAAGAAAGATAGAAATATGAAAGTATAAAGTGAGTGTATAATAAAAAAAGTTTAGGTGGGAAGATGAAAATGTAACAGAAGAAAAGATAAAAGTATGAAGTCAGAGAGAAAAAGAAAGTGTAAGTGAAAATTTGTATAAGAAAATATATATAATATATATTATAAATAAATATTTAGGAGAAAAAAATAAAAAGTTTTGTTAGAAAAAAAAGGGTAAGAAAACAAACATGAAAAGAGTATAAAAAAAATACATTAAATGTAATTGTATTTAAGGACAAGTGCGAGATCTTGACGGAGTCAAATAATATATTATTAATAAATAATAAATAAATATAAAAAGAAGAAAGAAGATGAAAGGATGAAAAGATAAATTTGTAGATATATACTTAAATATATTAAATGATCATTAAGTTTGAGGGGAACAAAATTATAAATTATATGAGAGTTACAAAACTGAGAAGGGACTGAGAGGATACAATTGTAAATATACGCGTAAATATATTAAATGTTCATTAAGTTTGGGGGGCAAAATCATAAATTATATGGGAGTTACAAAATTTTGGGGGTCGTGGCCCCTCACATTTCAAGAGAAGATCCGCCACTGTTTAAGGGAAAACTGAATTATACAATAACAATATTTAAATACTACAAAGACATAATATTTATAATGAGGTTTGTTATGCTAATTAATCTAACTGAAATAATCGTTATAACATAATTATTCAATTATTATCTAATACAACCCCTAATTCAAGCAATCAATTTAATATTCAATTTCTTGAACCTTCAATATTCAAAGATTTTGTCATGATGTTCTACTCTTTTGTGCCTTAATGTTCAAGTCCTAACTTCTTCTTCCTTACTTCATCTCTAATAAAGTAAAATTTCAATCCAATATATTTGTTTCTCTCATGATAAATTAGATTTTTCATTAAATTTATAGTTAACTTATTATCAATTTTCAATGTCATAATCTTCTCTTATCTTCCAAGGACTTCATTCACCATACTCTTGATCACACTCCTTGACAAGTTGTGTAAAGAACAATCATATATTTAGCTTTACAAGAGGAGAGTGTCACAATAGGTTGTAACTTCAAGCATCATGAAATTGGTGATTTTCCCAATACGAATACATAACCTGATGTGCTTATGAAACCAACTTTATCTCCAGCCCAGTCAAAATCAGAATATCCATTAGTAATAAAATTTCAAAATCAATTGTCTCTTTGATGTACCTCAGAACTCTATTAACTGCTACAATATGTAATGTTTTGGGTTTATCCATAAATATACTCAACAACCTAACACCAAAACAAATATTTGGTTTACTACAATACAAGTATCTTAAGTAGTTAACTATTTGTCTGTAAACTATAGCATTTACAAACTTCTTATCTACATCTTTCTCAAGTTTCATGTTTTTCTTGACTAGTGTAATTTTTGTAATACACTTACTCATTCTAAACTTTTTGAGAACTTCTTTGACATATTTACTTTGTTGAGTCAAAATACCTTTTTTTTTTGCTTTCAATGAATTGCATTATCAGAAAATATGACAACTTCCCAAGATGAGTCATCTAAAACTGATTTTGCATCCTCTTTTTAAAATTATCGATCGAAGTAATTTTACTACTTGTAATCAACAAATCATCGATATCTAAGCAAATAATTAACACATAATCTCCTTTGATCTTTGAATAAATCTCATATTCAACATTTCAAGAATCCTTGTTGTCGAAGACAACCATCTATTCTAAGCTCTTGGGGCCTGTTTCAAGCCATACACCTTCTTCAATCTAAGAACTTTTTGTTCTTCTCTAGTAATTAATTACAAACCCTTATGATTGTGTAACATAAACTTCTTCCTTCAATTCACAATCCAGAAATATAGATTTTACATCCATTTGATGCATTTGTCACCCTTTATAGCTAGCAAGAACTACAACTCTTCTTACCGTCTTCATTTGGCAATGAGTGCATACACTTTTTTGTAGTCTAAACCTTCTATTTGTAGAAAGTCTTTCGCCACAAGTATGACTTTATATCTTGCAATTGTTTCGTTCGATTTCACCTTTGTTTTGTACACCCATTTTACTTTAAGTGTTCATTGATTCTTTGGGATATCAGTTAATTCTCATGTGTTTATTTTTCTTGATTGCCAATAGTTCCTCTTTCATGGAATTGATCCACTTGGGATCCTTGATTGTTTCTTCAAAATAAACTAGTTCAAGCTCGACATCAACATATAGTACTAGATGTACAAGATCATTCTCGTCCTCAATATCATCAGTATTAATCACATAATCATTGAGTCTCATTGGTGTCTTAATTAATCTAATTAGTCGATTTCTCCTCCCTTCAATTTTAGAAATCAATCAATTTTTGTCTTTTTTTTATTTATTTTTGATATTGACCGATTTTCACCTCTTTGATACTAGAAGTCGATTAATGATTGCCTTCGATCTTTGCATCACCTAGGTCATCGAAGCTAACCCTTCAATTTTCCATTATTGAACACCATTTTCAGCAATCTTTCTCATGAATAACGACATCTCTACTGACGATTATCTTCTTGATAAGATCATACAACTTATACACATCAGTTGCATGATATCCTATGAAAATCAATTTTTTATTTCTATCATTAAGCTTCTTCCTTTTTACATCTGAAACATATCTCTAAGCAATCGAACCAAATATTTTCAAGTGTTTTATATTTGGCCTTCTCCTAGACCATACTTCTTCTGGTGTTTTCTCTTCCACTCTCTTCGTTGGACATTGATTTAAAATGTGTATGGTTGTCAATACTGCTTCTCTGGAAAACGAATGTGGCAAGCCTTTGGTCTTCAACATACTTCTGACCATATTTAAAATTGTTCGATTTTTTTTTCATAACTTTATTGTGTTATGGTGTGTATGGGGGTACAATCTCATGCAAAATACAATTTTTCTTGCAAAATTATGCAAACTCACCATTGGTGTATTCTCCACCACCGTTTAATCTTAATACTTTAATAGTTAGGCCACATTATTTCTCGACCATCGATTTAAAATTGATGAAACGCCTAAACACCTCCACTTTTTCTCAATCAAGTACACCCACATCTTCTTATTGTAGTCATCGATGGATGTCACAAAATAATTGTTATCACCTAGTGAACATCAAAGGGTCCACACATATCGATGTAGATAACTTCAACACATCTTACATCTGATCTCGATGTCCACCTTAAAAGGATTTTTGACTTGTTTCTCTGTCATACAACCTTCACATATGTCTTTACACTTTTTTACTCGAGGCAATCTCATCACCATCTCCTTTTTTGCAAGTTGATTCAAGCTATCAAAGTCAAGATGACCATACCTTAAATACCATAACCAATTGACATAAGAGACTACTGCTGCAAAACATAATTATTCGATACTGAAATATTGACTCAAAAAACTCTATTCTTACTTACTGGTGCCTTCAATATTAGTGTCTCATTTTTTTCGAGGATTTTCAACATTTGTTCCCTTGATCTCCAATCGATCAAATGTTCTTTTTAAAGATGTTGACCGATACTTAACAAATTATGCTTTATGGCTGGAATATAAAGCACATCCAAAATTATTATAGATTTGTCATCTTTCTTTTGATCATTATTTTACCTTTCTCTTCATAACTCACTATCGAATCATTTGTAAATTTTACCTTTGATCTAACACTATTGACGAGCCAACTATTCTTAAATGATATATGATTCGAACAACCAGTATCCAAATGTCAAGATTCACCAAAAGTCTCCACTGATTTCGTCGTGGTTACCATTTATAGTACTTCATTATCTGAGTTTTACTTTTGTGCAACATTTGTCTCTCCTTCTTTGCTCCAACAATCAACAACATAATGATCATACTTGTAACAGTTATAATACTGTACATTCTTCTTATTTGCACCAGAGTTTGATTAATCACCTCTCCATTGTGAGTTTCTGCCTTTATCACCTCTTGATTGTGAAGAACTCTCTTATTTCCCTTATGAGTGTCAACCACCATTGTTTCTACCTCTTTCTTTTCCTCGACCCCTCTTGTTCAATTTTTCTTGATTTTCTTCATTCTTTTGGTTTTGTTTTGTCAATAATGTTTGTTATGTGTTAGACCTTTTTTCCACATTCTCAGGTAATCGTTGTCCATAAACCTCCAATGATGCTTGTAGTTTATCAAGTTTCAATAAATCGAAATTCTTAGACTTTTCAATGGCTACAAAAATTATGTCGAACCTAACATTGAAGGTTCTCAACACCTTCTTCGCCACCGCTCGTTCTTTCAAGCTTTCACCACAAAACTTCATCAAGTTTGTAATAGGCAATAATCTTGCAAAGTATTCTTGGATGATTTTTTGTGTCTCCATTTGCAATAACTAGGGATGGCAAAACGGGTCAGCCCGCGCCGCCTTTGACCCACCAAAAGTGGGGCGGGGCGGGGCTGACCCGATATAGTCATGACGGACTGTAGACCTTGACCCGTCCCACCAAGGGGCGGCTCGACGGCCGACTCGCCATAATTTAGAAAAATAATTTATTTTTTAAAATAATTTTTTTTAATAAATTTAATAATAAGATTATTATTTGTTTGTCAATAATTCAATATATATATTATTTTAATTTAATAATATAAATCAATACATTATTTTAAGAAATTATAATTTAGAACAATAATAAAATTTACATAATAATAAATAATAACAAATATATATATATATATATATATATATATATATATAACGTTAAAACTTATAAAATTTATATTTTTTATATTGAAAAATTCAAATATCTATATCTTTTTTATTTGATAAAACTTCACATTATTCTTGGTTGAGTAATTCTTACACTTTTAATTTAAGTCATAAGGATAAAAATAATCAGTGCTTAGAATGAACAAAGAGAATAAGAGAGAATGTTGTGTGGAGAATATTTTCTTGTTCCTAACAATTGGTATCGAGCCAAGGTCACGAGTTCGATTCTCGTTGAGCAATAGTTAAGGGGAGATTGTTGCAGGTTGCACAATTGTCCCGTGGTGCGAGCCAGTGGGCCAAGTCACAATCGGTGGCGTAGGCTAGATGGGCCAAGTCACAATCCAAGTGGGATTCCTCGTAGGACAATTGCTGAGGGGAGATTGTTGCGAGTAGCATCAATTGTCCCGTGGCGGAGGCCGGTGGGCCGAGTCACAATCGAATCGTGGCGCTTGGGTCGTTAAAGTAAAAAGAGTTGCGCTTCGACTAATGGCTATAGCTTTTGGCCTAGTGGTAAGCGCTCGATCCTAACAATTGGTTTGAAAAAATTTTAACTTTATATATTATCTTTATAATTAATTTTATTACAATAATTTTTTTTATTAATTAGGCGGTCGCGGGTTGGCCCACCCCGTCCCGCGGGGTTGGCCCGACGGCTTGGCGGGCTTGGCGGGGCGGGCCAAAGCGGGCTGGTGGGCTGCCAGCCCGCTGGGCCTGACCCGTTTTGTCATCCCTAGCAACAACTCATATGGACGATGCAAGGTTTGAAGTCGCACCACCTTCAACCTTTCTCCGCCTGCGTAACAGTGTGTCAATATATCCCATACTTCTTTCGTTGAGTTTGCCAGTGAAATCTTCTTAAAGTTATTTTCATTAATACGCTGATAAATGTAGAACATAGTTTTGCAATCACGTTTCTTTTCTCTAGAAATGTCGTCCACTATACTTTGGTGAGGTTCTCATATAGCCTCTCATATCCATTCATAATTACATTTAAGACTTCTTAAAAACCAAAAACGACATTCATATTCACATACCAACTATAATACCCATTTAGGTTCTTGTTATCGAGCACCAACATGTTGCCATGCAACCAAATTCCTTCCAATGTCATTCTTCTTCTTCTTTTTCTTCTACTCATTCTTCCCTGATCTTAAAGTACTTGATACCACTGGTACTGGAAATGAGTCTAAAAAATTAAGTATAAAAAAAGTATCAAGAGGTGTATTAAATATAATTGTATTCAATGTAAGAACCGAATTATATAATAACACAACTTAAATATTATAAAGCACATGGTATTTATAACGATCACTAAGGTTTGTTAGGCTAACTAACCTAACGTAAACAATTATTATAACATAATTGCTGAATTATCATCTAATAAGTTTAAAATTTATTTATGTTTATCAAATTATTTTTATTTTATTTTTAAAAAAAATCATTATTATATATAAAAAAAAATTGGTGGGGGTGGGGGTTTGTCCTGCCGCCCACTATAAAATTCGTGTTTACATGAGCGGTTAAGGTGACGAAATGGGTTAAACTTGATAAGTTGACATGTCTCAAAATTAACAGGATCTGTTTGATAGTTTTAATCTGTCAACCTAACGAGTCAAGGATGAGATGAGATGAACTAACTTGCTTATATATTAAAATAAAAAAAATGGATTAAAACTAAAATTATTATATCTTTTGTATTATATTATTAAAATATCTAAATATATTGTAATATTATAAATCTTAACCAATTAAACTTAAATTATTAATTATAATTGGATATTTAAATACACAAATATTGTATTTGTTTCAATTTATCTAAGAAAAATATTAATTGATGGATATAAAATTAAAAAATCATTCGTATAATAAAAAAATCATTCGTATAATTAAAGTTATATTTTTTTAAAAATATATATAAAATTGGTTGATTGGTTTGCTAGCCTTATAACATGTCCAGAAATATTTCAAAAATAATGTGTCCATAACTCTTTTGAAAATGTTAATCCATGAAATATCCGAAAATCTAATTATGAAAATTTTTCAAATTAACATTTTTAAAGTTTGTTAAAAATGTTACAAAATCATTTTTCTTGAAATTTTCTGGATTAATCTTTTATTTTTCAAAAGTGTTTCATAAAACTTTTGGAAGGTCAATTTTTAAAAATTTCCGAATAAATTTTCTAAAACCTATTTACATTATAATAATGGGGTGCAGAAACAAAGTGTGGGGTGGAGGAAGAAACACCCAAGTCCAGGGATTAAAATAATAAGTAGAAGAAAAGTAAAAGGAGGTGAGTGAAGCGCAGAAGAGAAGAGAGGAGGGAGAAGAAAAGAATTGAAGTTGGTAGAAAAAGCAGAAAAAACAAAAAGAGAAATCTGGAATTGCATTGCAATGGACGTGATAAAGACGCAGCAAATATCATCTAGACCAATCGAGAAGGTCGTGGTTCATCCGCTCGTGCTTCTTAGCATCGTCGATAACTACAACAGAGTCGCCAAGGACACGCGCAAGCGCGTCGTCGGCGTTTTGCTCGGCTCCTCTTTCAAAGGCACCGTCGACGTTACCAACAGCTATGCCGGTTTGGATCTGTCCTTTTATTTTTATTTTTTTTCATTACAGCATTCCTTTACTCAATCGTTGTTGGAGTTGTTGCGAGGATTTGTGCCCTAATTTTATCGTGGTAATAGCTAATTATAATGAGATAGTGAGAATTTGTTGATCTTGAAATTGGAATAATGTAAAATTTTGACACTGAAACCTCTCTCGCAGTACTAATTTTAATGTCTTGCTGGGTTCATTTAGCTTGGTGGGGTATGATTCTAATGGAGACCTCCAAAGCATGTTGTCGAAGTAAAAGAAATCTGAGAGAGTAGCATTTCGGTTAGGAATTCTAGTAAGTTTATTGGCTTTGCGTCTACTCCGTTGATCATGCGTGCACCTCCTCCTCCACCTTTGTTTATGTCTCCAAGCCCTTTACAGGTTAATCTCAGCTTTCTTCTTCACCATAACAGGCCTTTTTGGCTCCAGGCGTCCTTTGCCTTCTCCCTCGACACTTTTGCTGTCTTGGTGATTCCCTGCACATCTTCTTCATCTCTGTACGCTGGTTCTTGTTTAGTGTTTTGGGTTGCTTTGTAATTACTGAATTTTGGGCACGGTGGTAATGGAGCTGGGATGGTGGTTAGTTTCGTGATTAATTATATGATGAGTCGCTTTGGATGTCTTGGCTGTTAAATTTCATATTTATGTTTGCTTTGGTGTTGCTATTTATTTGTTTCTTACCTATTTTCTATTGCTTTGTTTTTCTGCATGTGTGTATATATTAGTACAATTTTACATTTTGGTAAGATCTTACTAACCTTGTTGGTATCCTATATTGTACAATCTTGCAACCCCCTCCCGATACTAACTAGGATCTTGATCCGGATAACATTGCTCACTAAGTTATCTTTTTGACAGTGCCGTTTGAAGAAGATGACAAGGATCCCAGCATCTGGTTTCTTGATCACAATTACCATGAATCAATGTTTTCCATGTTTAAAAGAATAAATGGTATGAGTTGGGTGAATTTTCCTTTTCCTTTATTTTATTTCAGTTGATTATCTCTAATTTAAATGAACTGTGTAATTTTTGGTTTGGTTTACAGCAAAGGAGCACGTTGTGGGGTGGTATAGCACTGGTCCAAAGCTGCGTGAAAATGACCTTGATATTCATGGCTTATTTAATGAGTATGTTATTGATCCGAAATCCTGTGTATAATAATATTTCAATGTTGTGTGTTTTCTCAATTCATTTGAGCATTAATATTTCCCAGTTTTACAGAAAGAAAATATACTCAGAAAATATTACCCTCATCGATATATTTTTGATAAATTGATTTAAACTTCATACTAAGTGTTAAACTTGCGTACTTTGCTTCTTTTTGTCTTTATATCGTTTTCATCTGTAATTTTGTGTATCCCAATCAATCTTTATCTAAATTAATCACACACAAAACTGTTGCAGCTATGTTCCAAATCCTGTCTTGGTTATTATTGATGTTGAACCCAAGGAATTGGGAATCCCAACAAAAGCATATTATGCCGTTGAAGAGGTCAAAGAGGTAAAAATTAAGTCCTTTTACATCTGCCATAGAAATTTTGTATTTCTGTTCCTTACTCATTATTTCAAAGGTAATCCTGGTTTATATGATGGTGGGAGGGGAGCTAGCATTTGCTCAACACTATATTAGTAGTCAAAGAAAGTGACATAGTTTGTTCTGAATACAGAATGCCACCCAAAAAAGTCAAAAGGTTTTTGTTCATGTGCCATCAGAGATTGCAGCTCATGAAGTTGAAGAAATAGGTATTTCATGCCATTGAACATAAAACTGCTGTATTTTTTCTTTTTTTCTCTTTTGGTTGTTTGTTTATAAATTTTCAAAAATGAAATTCTGAATTTTATCCATACAGTTGGTAACCAGTGTCTCTTTTTATTTTTTCTTAACCCTGTGCAGGAGTGGAACATTTGCTTAGAGATGTGAAGGATACAACCATTAGCACCCTTGCAACAGAGGTTTCATTTTTCCCTTTTTACTTATCCTTATTTATTGATTCCTTTCACTTTCTGTTCTTTTTTTTTTATAATTTTTTTTTCACTGTAATACTTTTCTAGTTCTTTTATGCAAAAGAAATGATGCCCAGTGTTGACAATGTAATTTTTACTTAGGTTAGTGCAAAACTTACAGCCTTGAAGGGTTTGGATGCAAGACTTAAAGAGATAAGGAGTTACCTTGACCTTTTTATTGATGGAAAGCTTCCATTAAACCATGAGATCCTGTACCATCTACAGGTTTGTTTCTCATATTCTTGCTTAGTAAATGGCCGATTATTTGGCTTTGTTATCAATTGGTTTAAGAATATTGATTAAGTGTTTTCTGCTATTTCTTAGTTTAATTTAGAACCTTTTGTAAAAATCTTGTAAAAGATGTGATGTGAGATTAATAGTGGGAACGCAAAATTACTGGGAATAATAAAAGTTTTTTTTTTTTTTTGCTACATTATTCTTTCTCACCATTTCATTCCTAATTGCAATTTTTCAGGACGTGTTTAACCTGCTACCCAATCTTAATGTTGCTGATCTTATCAAGGCGTTTGCAGGTTATGATTTGTGACTTGCTTTTTTCAGTAACATATTTTTCTATATATCTCTTTAAATTGTTGATATTTTTTGTGTAGTGAAAACAAATGATATGATGCTGGTAATATACCTGTCATCTCTCATTAGATGTGTAATTGCACTCCACAACTTGATTAACAACAAGGTTAGATACACTACCCTAAATTTTGCTCCAAGTATATTTTACTTTGTCATTTTTATCATGTTCTGAAAATAGTAATTCTGGCAAGTTTTGGAGATAAGATTTGTCCTCCATTTGTATATTCAAGTTTTTTAATTGATAAACTAGGCACTTGATGAGCTTAGGGGCGTTCACGTGTTGCTTTGGATTTTTGGATTTGAGGAAAATGAAATCCAAACTAATTAATTTTTATTGGTTTGATTTTTTTTTTTAATTGCACAATTCAAACTAAAATTTAGTTGTTATGGATCAATTAAGTGCACTTCTATGCAAATGTGGAAAAAATATTTCAAAAATAGAAAATACATTATTTGTTAAAAGAATTCATACATAATGTGTGAACTACATATTTTATTTTAATTAACTTTAATTAAATATTAGCAATTCACACACACACACAAAAGTTGTACTATAAAATTCCATGCATAATTATTAATAAGAAATTTATGATATTGGTTTGGTTCAGGTTGGATTCAATTAAAAATAACCAAATTATCACCATTGAGTTTGATTAGTTTGATTCAAATTGAATTCAATTAGGTTAAAAATACAAACCAATTTAATTGGTTCAGTTTGGATTCTTGGATTGATCCAAACTAATGAACACTTGCACCTTATTGGGTACATAGATTATATGTATATTATGAATGATGATTAAGTTTGTTAGGGTAAAAGATGATACTAAATCATCACTATATACTGTGCTTCATGTCTGTATGTATTGGAAAAAGTTTGATAGACAACCCTCATTTTGAAAACAATTATTACACAACTCCATTTAATAATATTATATTAGTTTAATATTATTTTTTATCTATTCATGATTATTATATTAATATATGGAGGTGTCTATTAGATTTTTTATTCAAAAGAGAGGTTGTCCATTTATCATCGTCTTTATATTTATTGGAATGTGATTTCAGATGCTCAACAAAGAGCATGAACGGGCAGAAGACTCGAAATCAGTTACAGTGCCGAGTGTAGCTGCATAAGTTTTGATGGATTGTGTTGGTGGGAGCTTAATTATCCGTGTAGTTCCTGTGCTCCATGTAGTTTACTCTTCGATACGAAGCCCATTTTCTTGTTTAGTAGCTTTGGTATCGGCAGTTAAAAATTTTTATATTATGAACAAAAAGATATGAGAAAGAATAGTTGCCCTTGTAACTTTTGCTGATCTTTACTTTACCTGCAACCCAGATGGAATCATGCATGATATAGTTTATGGAGATGATTGAACTATGGGCGAATGGGGATATGGCCTGCCAATGTCTAAGTATCTGTGAATTGCAATGGTAAATTATCTACCATTGTTTTCAAAATTGGACGAATGTCTAATAGGAATTCTATTTTCTTTTTCTTTTCAAAAATCAGACTTTTAATTATATAGACATAAAATTAAAAAATTGATTGGATTTTTAGTCAAATAATTTTTGTTAAAATAAAATATAAATTTTAATAATCTTTTAGACAATTTTTTTATTGTAATTTATAATGATTATGATACTTATTTATGATAATAACTTGTTATAATTTTTTTCTTTTAAAAAAATATTAATAATAAGTTTATTAAATACTTGTATTATTTTATTACATTTGACTGAATTTTTTTAACTGAATTAATGCTTTGATTGTTTAGTGACGAATTTAAAAACATTTTTATCTAGACTGTAATTGTTTGCAATAAGTTCTAATTTTCATGATATATCTGCATGAGCTTATTTGCAAAAGAACTTAGTTCATTTTGTAAAATATGCAATGAAGGTCTAACTCATTGATGGTCTCCTGTTCAAGTCCGGCTACTATATATTTTTAAATAGGACACAAAGCATTGACTTTTATTTCTATGTCTTACTTGAAACACCTCTTGTTTTCTATTATTTTAAATGACAATATCTCTAGTAAAATAGAAACTTAGGATAAAGTGATGATTGATTATTTGTAAGATATTAGATTTAAACTGAAATGGATAATTGATTATAATAAATAATTTTTTTATAATAATTGATTCTTATATAGTTTTTTTATAAATAGTTATATCATGATAATTGATTATATTTTAATATAATATTATATTGTTTCTGTTTGATTTTAAATTACTTTTAAAAAATATTGTTTCTCGATCAAAATAGTAAGATACTGAAAAAGGTTTAGTATCTATTTTTATACAAACAACGTGATGACAACTATGAAATGTATCTCATTAATTTGTAATACAAAATAACTAATAATCGTAAAAGTACTAGTAAAATTAAATTTTATACGAAAAGATAAAAACCTTGCAAAAGAGACTATAGTTCAAGCTCTCTTAGATACAGCATGTTCTGAAACGGTTGTGTGGAGAACAAAAGTACCCCTATACATGACTACCAAAATTAAACATGTAAAAAAAATCAGAACGATGTCTGGACAAATACTGATAAATGATGAAGAGATAAACAATATCTCTCTTCAATTCAGTACAAATTGTGACCTGTTTGGTTAGAAAATACACATTAAAACTATGTGAGTAGAAAATTTAATCCCCTCCAAACAAAGTATGATTATTGGTTTAGATTTTATTTTTGGCCACAATCGAACTATCACTATTAACAAAAATTATGTTATCAGTGATAGAACACAGATGTCACCCATAATTAGTGGCGACAATAAAAAATACTTAGAATAACATGTGGATGAATGTTCTTGTGATAATCCCAAATCTTCTAACATATGTAATTGTATGGAACAAGATATGAATTATTACTACATAAATGATATTATGAAATTTTTTTCTTTCATAAAGATATCAAAGACAATTACGTTTGACAATATCCAATAGATATTAGATAGGTTAAACAAAACAAACATAATAGGAGGAGAAGACCCCACAAAGTTTTGGGATCTTATATTGTTTTTGATTGATTTTAAATTACTTTTAAGAACGGATTCTTAATTATTCTTAAAAAATTAATCATTAAGTGTGTTTATAAAATAATATAATAATTGTTAGTTTAGATGCACAACAATTCATAAAATATATATAAGATTTGTCTATTCATATAAAATCATTTTAGTAACCCCTTCATGCTCCCAATTCTTCACCTTACGACGCATTTGTACCCCTTCATTTCTTGCTCATCTGCTCCGCACACCGTCTAAGGTTCATGGACTCTACATCACCCACTGGTGCAAACATCACAATGCTTTCTTCTTGGCTGGACACTAACTTTTCTTTGGTTCACCTAGATCTTCTCGGAATATTCGCCAGATGTCTTGGGAGACAAGTTGTCAGATCTAAGTATAGTTACCTGTAAGATACTCCGAGGGCTCAAATAAGTTAGAACGAAAATATCTTATAGGGTTTATAGGGTTTCTGAAGACAGAATAACAATACATTTCTCATCTAGTTTACTAGTATTTACAAGAGGGGCGTGTCTCCCAGTTCTACAGGTGAGACTATATAGTACAGCTTTGAAGCACATTTTCAAAGTAACAATCCCCCAACTTTGGCTCCAAGCGTTGGCGAACATTAGCTGCCATTGGAAACATCGCCATTGGCATTTTAGTCTTCTCCAGATTTCTTGGCCTTGTCACGCAACGCCGCATCAGAGCTTTTGGATAACAGTGTGAGAGGGGAGAGATGGGGTGGAGAAGAGACATCCCTTTTGGATGTATTGAGACAATAGCATGTTAAGGTCTGAGATAGAGAGCTTTAGATCTCCGAGAGTGGAATCTTGGTCTGGCACAACAGTGCTTTTTGAGAGGACGGTAACTGCATTATCACAACAAGGAGAAGAAGAAGAAGGCATGTTGTCGCTAACATGTACTGAATGTGTCTTCCAAACTCTCAATTGCTTCTGCGGAAAGCGCATTGTGTATATTCTGTTTATATAGGCTACTAAAGTGCCATGGTTCATGACGAGACAAGAGGAGAGCTTCTAATTCTACCCTATCTAATTGTGTATTTTACTACCTCCCACTTTTTAAGTTTGTGTATAGATTCAATCCTCTTACTCCCATGATCTTCTTCCCCTCTCCACTCTCCACCCATGGATGCAACTACTAAAGAATTACATGAGCAAGTTAAAAGGAAAATTAAGAAAATGGTGAGCAAGCATCAAGAGGGTGTTAATAAGAAAAGGAAGGAAGTCATCTTCAAAGAAGAGGATTGGGTTTGACTTCATTTGAGAAAGGAAATGTTTCCTACTCAAAGAAAATCTAAACTTATCCCAAGAGGAGATGAGATGATCCCTTCCAAATCACTAGAAAGATCAACAACAATTGTTATTATATGAGTTAGACTTACCACCTATATATAACATAAGTAACTCATTTAATGTTTGTGACTTTTCTACTTTTGACGTAGGGTATAAGAATTCATGATCGAATTTTCTCCGAGAAGGGGAGGATGATGAAGACATGACAAGAGGGGAGTCTTCTAATTCTACCCTATCTTTATTTTCCATTAGCTTAATTTGAATTCTCTGAGTTGAATTAAGTAGAGTTAATTTTAGTTGACTTGTTAACCTTGACTTGGGTTGACTTTTTGACTAGAGTTGACTTGACCCAAGTCAATATTGCTAATCTAATTTCATTTGTGTGTTTTGTAGGTTAAACATGGATTCACTGCAAGAAATATTAAAATTATCGACGGTCAAAATCCGTCGGTAAATGAATATTACCGACGAAATTCCAAAGGCAAAAAATCCGTCAGAAATTCGATTGTCGGTAAATGTGTTACAAAATTACCGACGGACTGGAATCCGTCGGTAATAATTTTATTATATATTAAATATTTTACTTATTTATAGCATTTTTTTTATAGAAATGCCTCACCTTTATATTCTTATTAATTATTTCTTCATATTATATTTTTATAGCTTTGAGTTATTATCAGATTAATAGGAATGTCAGGATTCGAACCCAGTACCTTAGAGGTAGAGGTCGATACTCCAACCACTAAGCTACTCAGAATTTTTCAATTATAATTTACAATAAATTATATTTATATACAAATAAATTATATTTATATATTTATATATTTATATATTTATATATTTATATATTTATATATATTTATATATATTTATATATATTTATATATTTATATATTTATATATTTATATATAATTAAATATTTATTTTTTAAAATTATTTAATTTAATAAATTATTATAAATTAATCTAATTATGATTAAATTAAATTATTAAATAAAAAATATTTTATTTTTTAATTAGGTGAATAATTAAATTATATTATATAATTTTACCGACGGATATCCGTCGGTAAATAATTGTTAATTTACAGATGAATTTACCGACGGATATATCATCGGTTTAATTAATTGTTAATTTATCGACGGATATATCCGTCGGTAAATTCATCTATAAATTACCGACGGATTTATCGACGAATATATCTGTCGATAACTAATTATTATTTTACCGACGGATATGTCCGTCGGTAACATCAAATTCCACAAATATTTTATATCCGTCGGTAATTTTCGTCGGTAATGATTATTTTCCGACGGCTACAAATCCGTCGGTAAATATCCGTCGGTAATACGCGATTTTTTTGTAGTGATTAAGAGGATGATTAGGACTCTCCACATGGCAAGCTAGAATTATACCACAAGTGCATGAGGTGGAAAACATAAAGCAAAAACATAAAGAGAAAGGTGCTTTATGGTATTGAATGAGACAAATGTGGTTTCCTCCTTAGTCTTAGCCAAGAATCACCATAGGAAGTCCAAATTCCATTTATCTTTTCCTTGCTTTCATGTTACGTTGGAAGAAGATATTTTTTAGGGTTTGCAAATGTACCATTTTAAAACTTTTGTTATTTGCTAAGAAACCACCAAGACTATATATTTAAGGGGTGTTTTTTCTCTTTTGCAGGGGTTGCACATTTGAAATCAAAATACTCCTTTGTCCAATCATATTTCTGTGAGCATCCTCTTCCTAATGTAGAGATTCCATGATCTTATTTTGCTCCTAAGAAAATGGCGGTTTCACCACTTATCTCTTGACTTGATATGTTTACTATGACCCTTGTTCAAAGAGTGACGTGTTTTTTCACCATCACCATCTTCTACATCTTACATTTTTATTGTTCTTTTCTTCTATTTTTACTTCTTATTCACGTGTTGTTTTGCTAATTAATATTAATTTTATTCACACCTTTCTTGAGCGGTTGGAAATGCCCTTTCGTATCTAGATAACTTGCTATTTTAACGTCCAATAGAAATGTTCCTAAATTTCCTTTAAATAATCCAAAACCCTATTTCAAAGAATTAAAGTGAACCTATATGGATTCATCTCATTAAAGTTTCTATCTTCATGTAGTATATTTTACCCGTGTATCAAGATGGAGTGAATAAGACAAAAATTAATACAGAGGATACAAGACAAAATATTTGGATAATAATATTAGACATCCTACTTAACACTAACTTTAGAATTCACTAATAATAAATATTTGGATAATAATATTAGACATCAGCTCAATACTAGCTAACTTTAGAATTCACTAATAATAAATAATCTAAGAAAACAAGAGTAAAAAAATAATAATGATATGATAATAATTGCTTATTTTTTGTAATAATTACTTAGAAATTAATTAATTTTTATTTAAAATTTGGTTACATAATTCAAAATTTCATTTTATATGTCATCGTGTGATAATTTTAAACTGTATAAATTCCATAGGAACGTTAGTTTTCCTCCACATATTGTAGTCGGACATACCTTTTCGAGATAAAAGGAAAATGATGGCAGGTGGATTATGGAATTTATATCTTAACATTAAAATAAAGGGAAAATTGTGTATATATTCAAATTTCGGCTTACATTCTTTTCTTAGTCTTTAAAATTCAGATTCTTAACATGTTTTTTATTTTATTCTCCCCAATCAAATTATCTAAAAATTATAATTAAAAGATTCAGTTTTTTATTATTTTATTTACTGAAAAATTCACATAATTTATATCAAAGTAATTAATTATTGAAATATTATGAACCTTCTATGATTAATTAAAATAAAAAATATTAAATAAGCAAAACAATTATTATTTTAAGAAGACAATAAGTATTTAATATGAAATACTACCTAAAAATTAATAAAGTATAGTTTGATAAAGATAAGAATACTCTTATCCAGAAAAAAAGCAAACTAATATAGATTTTTTCTAGTTTAAGTTTTGAAAACCTAAAAATGTTAATTATATTTAATGTTTTTTTTCATCATTATTATTATTTTTTATTATAATTTAATTATTTAAAATAATAATTAATTGATGTAAAGATAAAAATCAATATCTAACTCTTATGTTTAGTGAATTGAAAAATAATACAACCTTTCTCTTTTATTTTCTACTTATTTTATTATTTGACAATATATGGAATTGTTTTTTCATGTATGTTGTGTCTAAATTAAAACAATAGAAGTGGAAGTAGTGAAAAGTAGTGTTAAAAATAATTTGGGAACCTTTCTTCCCTGAATTACGGAGGACGGTGGATGTGTTTGGACTTGGATAAACTTGTCTAACATGTGGTACACGATATATGCCCAAATTCACGTTAGCAGATACGTCTGGGTAAGTTGTTGTTGTTCATCAGAGTTCAAAACTGCATTGTCTAGAATGGTTACAGTAATCAACTTGGATTACAAATTGCCAATTTGCCATGCATGAATGCACCTCTTCCATTCCATAAATTGGATTCTGGTCTTTTGAGGCAATCTACAAACGTATGGGACTCATAGTGACTCATGACTTCGATTTTCTCGATTTTGAGTCATGACTTTAGCGTGGCACCGCCATTATTGACCGGTGGGAATACAGGAGGACAGGGTAAGGGTATGTTCATATATACTATCATCCACCAACATCTTATATTCTTCAATTTTAGGGAATCATCTTAATATACTTTTTTATAAAAAGTTTTACTACTGTTTGTTGGTGTTATATAATTACACGTTTAAATTAAACTGTGGTTATAAAACTTTAAACTTAAATGAAAATGTAGTTTTAATAATATCATATTAGTTAAACAAACTTTAAGAGGATGTGAAAATGATTTTATATGGTAAAACTCATAATATAAAATAAAATATCATACATGGATATTATAAAACTCTTACATTGAATATTTAATTAGACATACAAATCTACATGTTTAATATTGAAATATCTCCTAAAGCTTAAACACTTACAAGAATATTTATAAGTTAAAGTTAAATTATGTATTTATATAACACTATATGAATAACTATTTTTGGTATAAATTATTTTTAGTGTATAAAAAATGTATTTAATTTTTTCTCTCAATTAAAATTTTTGTTGAGTTTTATTTTTTGTAATTCTAGAACCGCTTATAAATATCAAATGTATATAAAAAAATTTAAGTGTCCTCTATATTGGATAATAATGGTAATTAGGCTAATCAACCGAATAAAAACAATCATTATTACTGAATTATTATTCAATATAACCCTTAATTCACAAAATAATAATACAAAATTAATTAAAAATAATATTGATATAAAATTAATAGTAGTGATATTTATACAATCACGTTCTAATCAAACAACCAAGTAATAATATAATAATAACAAACATAAAAAGTTAAACTTTTATTATTATCATAATAATATTAAAATGGGTTATAGAATAAATGTATGAATGAAAAAAAATATGATTTCCCTACAATTAAATTTGGTATTTCATACAAAATGTTAGTTCTGTCATGTGATTAAATTTAATATTTACTCTTTATCTTTTATGTGCATGTGTAACATAAACATTTGAAGCAAGACGGTTGATATATAAATTGACCTTTTGTGATGACATTAGAGATCTTTTCATCGATTGTCATGTTGTGACTTGCATTAAAAAAAATGATGGAGGATTATTTTTAACCTCTATTACAACATGGTTGATGGTTTCGGAGTTACTTAAACTTGAGAACACTTAACATAAACAGAGTTACTTAAACTTCAACATGAACATAATCAAACAGTGACAACATGACGATGAAAGTTATTCTCTTCACATTCAAACGCGTGTCCCTGCGTACTAAGCAGAGACGTAAAGCATGAATTGAGGGTCGGACTCGAGTCGCGCCATTGTGTCAGCCGCCAGAACCACCTCCACATCGACGGCGCCACTGCCAGTCCTCCCAGGAAAGGCCGACAACTTACCGTCAAACTTGTTTGCTCCGCCGCTCCGCACGGCTATGGGCGGGCCCCATCCAAAATCGTTGTCATACATCGGAAATCTTGGCGAGCTTCCCATCTGCACAGTGCCGCCGTCATGGTTCCCTAACTCATAGCACTTGGGCTCACGCTCCCAATTCTCCACGTTACGCTGCACTGTAGCGCTATCAAACGCCTTCACGCTCCTATTCAGTTGCTCTGCGCACCATTGAAGGTCCTTGGACACCAGATCACCCACTGTTGCAGACGTGGAAATGCTCTGAAGCGCATTTCCAAAGTAAGAATTTCCCAACTTGGGCTTCATGCGTTGCCGAATGTTTACTGCCGTTCGAAACGTCGTCACTTTAGACTTCTCCATGTTCCTCGCCCTCGTCACGCACTGCCACATCAGTGCGCACAACGATTGGAAGGAAGAAATCTCTGTTGTTTCAGCACTTACACCTTTTGTAGCTATTTTCTGTTCTGTATCGGTGTTTAGCTTCGCCATCAACTCAACAGCCACGTCAACGTGCTTTGGCGTAAACACTAACCGACCTTTGTTCACTGTGGCTTTCAGCTTCTGAATTACTTCACCGCTAAAACTGAAGATTCTCTGGCGAAAGGGCGCGTCAACATCGAAGGTTACCTTGATTTCTACTTAAACAAGAAAATTAGTTACTGATCAAACTCTCTGTATATAATTTTTAAATTTGTTATTTTTTTTTCTGTTGTCGCTAAAATTAACTTTTGTAGGGAATAATATATCATCAAACTTTTAATATCAATTACTCATTTCTTGTGAATATTTCCTTTTTCCATTTATTCTCTATGGTTGAAAACATTTTATTCTAGGTTTTAATCTTTAATCTATTTTAAGAATATAGGATCGCAACCAAATAATTAAACTCCAAAATATAGATAATACTTCTTATAATAATAATAATACTATTTTGACCTGCTTGAGGTTGGAACAAAAAGATTGTGTAAAAATTAGAAGAGGGTTGACATATGACAATGCCTACGCTCGATCAACTATCGTAAATAGTAATACAATAATAAATAATAATTTTATATTAATGCATCAAATTGTTGAAAGGATGTTTTTGCTAAACCAGAATGTTAAAGCATAATTTCTCAGTTAAAAATAGTCTTTTTAAATACCGGAATTAAAGGAAGAAGTTTTTATGACACTGTTATTACCTTTTGGCAGTCGAAGCACAACCTTCGAGGTGAGGATGGAATCCCGACGAAAATCTGGGAGCTTAGAGGGAGAGAAGGTTTCTCCTCGAGAAATTGCGGCGAACGCGTTAAAGAAGTTCCACAAGGTGGCACCGTCAGTGGTGGCGTGGCAGACAGCACAACCGATGAAAACGCCATCAACGAGCTCCGTGACCTGAAAGGCCATGATGGGGGAGGAATGTGCAGTGTAACTAATTTTGTGGTGGAAAGGAAAGAACTGGTTGAAGGTTGGATGAACATCAGACGTTGACAGGAGGTCTGCGGCAGAGATATCGACGGCAGTGGCGTGGATGAAGTCGACGCCAGCGTCGTTGCATGTGATATAGACGTAGCCATCAGCATCGGTTTTGAGACGGCCAGCAAAGGGAGGAAAAAGGGAGAGCGTGTGAGAGAGTGCGTTGGTGAGATGAGGGATGAGAGTGTTGGGGGGTAGAGACGGGGAGGTGAAGAGACAGCCCTTTTGGATGTAGTGGGATAGGAGCATGTTAAGGTCTGAGAGAGAGAGTTTGAGATCTCCCAAAGTAGAGTTCTTGTGAGGAACAACGTTGCATTTTGAGAGGACAGTGAGTGAGTCACAGGGAAAAGAAGACATTTTGAACATAACACAAACGAATGTATCCTCCAAACTCTTGTTTCTGAGAAGAAAAAAAGGGGAAGATGGGTGTGTCGTGTTTATATTAGCTATAGGTGTCTTGGTTCATACCCTCCAGACTTGGTTTGTTTTGATGCTGAGGCATGTGCAAGTTGCATTACCAATACCAGGTAAACAAACACTTTTATAATCTTATTTAGACACCTGAAATTAGAAATAAGGAAAAAAGAAGTAATAATAACACGATGAAAATCAAGAATGAAAAAACAAAACAAAATAATATCATACTCTGGAGGTAGCAGCTGTTTTTTCAACAGTGATATCATTTTAAAATTATTTACTGTCGATTTGAAGTAAGTTCTTCATTATTTATTATTTCATGTTTCTATATTTATTGATTTATTCGAAAAGTTCGAATGCAGTATTTGAAATACTAAAATTTTCAAAAACAAGTCCAAAAATAAAAATATATCGTGTTAATATTAAAGATAAATTTGAAAATAATATTAAGTAATGTTATTGTCTAATAAGTTAATTAAGTTTTTAATTATTATAAATGGTTTAATTAAACTTTATAAAAAGACTTCTGGATTATTTATATAAATTGAAATTATAAATCAAAATATATGTAATTTTTGAGATAAAAGATTAACACATATTTACGGTATTTAAAAATATTAGCAAAAAGAATGATATAAAACGTCAGCTGATGAATGATCATTAAAAGAAAAATTGATTTCAGGTCCACAAAACAATAACAATAAATAGCAGTAACCCCTTGGAAATAACTCATTGTTTGTTCAATAAAAATGATTTTGATTAATTTTCTTCTTGTTGTTTACAGCTTATTTAGAGTTTTTGAAAAAAAAAATGTGTTTTATTTTAATGAGATAGTTATACGGTTACATTGAGGGGTGAATATTTATTTTACAAAATCTTCTAACTATTGTTTTTACAGCATCTCAAATGGGTTATTTTAAGAATCTATCTTCGTTTTCAATTGAGATATATAATGTCATATTATATTTAAGTAATTTTTTTTAAATTTTTATAAATTTATTTGAATCATAGATTTTTATAAATAACTTATTATTATTCAAGTACCACTTTTAATTTTAATGGATAAACTAAAAAAATTGAAAAAATGTAATTCTTAAAAACATTACTTCTAGCGGATGCAGTAGTTAATTTTTTAAAATTTTTACTATCACGGATTGTTCTAACATAATTTTTTATAAATACCGTTGTTTATAAACAATTAGGATCATAAACAACTTCTGTTAAAATTGCTGTTAAGAATAAATTATTTTAAAAATTAATTATATGATATTTGTATTTATATTTTTTTATTTTATATTTTATGATATATATTGTTAATTTTTTTTATATTTTATAAGATTATACATATTTTACAATTGTAAATATCAAATTAATATTTGATGGATATTTTAATTAACTATATTTGTATATAACTAATGACTATTTGAATATTAAAAAATAGGTTGAATATATTTTTATTTTAAGAAAACCATAAACATTTCATATTTTTAAGATGTATTAATTAAAAATGTAAGAAAAAAATCATTAAATTTAGTTTTTAATTCAATAGTTCTATTATCTTCAGAATTATTTTTCGTTTTTCCTATTGAGGCATGATCAATTGATAATTCCTATGTTTAATAAACAACTAAATTAACATTATTATTATTTTATTAATATATTCAATTGAATGGGAGGAGTTATATAAAGAAAATAAAAAATCCTTATATTAATTTTGTTTCCTTCCATTCCATCTCTTCTTCACCGTAGGAAGTAAAATATGGTGTTAATAATTTCATTTTAAATTTATAATTTGCTAGTAACTAAGTTGATGCTTGGACCCATAAATGTCGTCTTGAAATTAGAAAATTATGATAAATATGTCTCAGAAGTTGTCAGATTTTACCCTCTTTTCCTGTGACAGGGCAACTAATTTGAGTTCTTCAACCTAAACTGATTGACACAGAGTCTGCACCATTGCATGTCTATGCTACAGTATTAAATGCTGCACCTTTTTTCATGAAGATTGAAAAAACTTGGACAATTTTTTATAGTAATTTTAGAAAAAGAAATACTATATTACTTTGAAATTAATTTAAGTTGAATTTTTATTTATTACATAAAATTGTAGTTTATACAAAATTTATTTATTTATTCAAAGCTTATAAAATATTATTAATATAAATGAAAAGTTTAACCCCAAAACATTTGTTTGGAAGAGGAAATATAAATATATCATAATAGAAGAAAGAATAATATTATAAGAAGTCCAATAAAATGAAATAAAACAAAATATAATTTAAACACATATACTCCAATTTATAATATACTTTTAAAAATTATTATCGCTATAATTAGTAAGATAATTGTTATAAAATTTTAAAAAATATTATATTCAATTAAATAAATTTTATTTTGTTTTAAGTTTTGAACAATATTTTTTAATTTATTAACTCAAATTTAATATATATCTGATAAATTTAAATATATTTTTTAAGAGAGTAATCATGTCGTCAAGAATACAGTATACAAGTGCTCGATCATCCGATATGAAAATTTTATCTTTTATCCTTCTTTTATATATTTTTTTATTGTTTAAATACTCTGATATATAATTTTTTTCTCAGGTAACCAAATGAGAAAATTTATATATATTTTGTGTGTCCATCAATTTATAATAGAATGACTGATTATTTGTTGAATTGGTCTTGTTTTATTTAAGATTAATATTTAGGAAACAGAAAATAATTTATAAAAAATAAAAGTCATTAGTTTTTTTAAATGCATTGTTCTAGTTGTTAAGCTTATAATTGATTTATTTGTAAGTACCTAAACATACTTTTCAGACTAGAACAGCATTTAAAGTTACAAACCCCAATAAGTTTTATAATAAAAAATGAAAATAAGAGAGGTTGAATGGGTGGTTTTAATTTTTTTTTTTTTTTTTAAAGATGTTTGTGAATCAGTTGTATTATTAGAAAGTTGAAAATTTTTATTGTGATTTTATTTAGACAAATCTTCCCAACATGCTATTAGGCATAAGTTACCATCTATTTTCTTATTTCATTTTAGTTTATACTTTACAACTGGGAGGAGTGATTTTTTGTTGACATATCATGTATATTAAAATGATTGTGAGCAAGGCACAACACAACAGTTCGCCTGTTCTGGGATATTTCTGAAAGTGATCCTAGCAAAGATCTCATTGATTTGATGAAGTCAAAGATAAAGTCAAGGGTCAACTCTGCAGCAGTCAAACAAGTCACTCAGAACAAAGGAGCTGAAGACTTAGTGTGTCTAAACAGAAAGCTTAGGTAAAACCACTTTACCTTTTCCACTGCATAAAGCTTCTTCACTCATCTTGCAAAATGCCTCAAAAACAGTTTTTAACAAATAAAAAACAAAAGCATTTTGGCAAAGAATTTTCTTAAACAAGTTATTAACTGATACAGGTTTGAAAGAATCAATTTAAAACACTTAGAATGTTTTAAAAAGTGTTTTTACAATATTTTAATCGATACAAACTTCTTTTAATCGATTAAAACTCTTTATGACCGATTAGAATTCGAATATAATAGGTCAGAATGCAATATAATCGATCAGATCTTAAATATGAGCGATTAGAATTATTTTAATCGATTAAAACACGTTTCAATCGATTAAAATCACTTTGGATGTCAGTATGATCGATCAGAATGAGATTATGACCGATCAGAGTTGGTTATGATCGATCAGAATTGAATTATGACCGATCAGACTTATTTCAATCGATTAAAACGCATTTCAATCGATTAGAATAACTTAGAAAATCTTTTCAATCGATTAAAACGAACTTTCAATCGATTAAAATGACTTGAAAATATATGTGCAGATTTTAAATCGATTGAAACGACTTTATATCAGCTAAAATAACTTAGAAAGTTTTATAAGAAGGTTTTTAAACAAATCAATCGATTAATACGTGATTCAATCGATTGTTTTATACTTAGAAAATGTTTGTAAAACGTTTTAACTGATAAAAACGTGGTCGTATCAACTAAAACATTTTCTGTTAAAGATCAAGAACGCATTAATGGGTTGAAAGGACTTTTAACAGATTGTAACGGCTATTTCAACAGATTAAAACAAACTTTCAACAGATTAATGCAGCAGATTTGAAAATACTCTTTTATAAACAGAATTGCTTGGAACTTTTATCATATCAGTTTTGACACAATTCAAGCAATCAATACAAGCAACTATTAGCATTTTTCAAGAAAGATACACAACTGTTTTTGTGAACTTCTTTTGAAATCTTTCTTGAGGCACTTTGCATTTCTTTGAAGAAGAAACTGACTGTGGATTGGTGTAATCCGGTTTGAGCTTTCTTTGTTTCTTCTTTTAAATTTCTATTCATTCATTTGTACTGTTTTGTACCTGGAATTTGGGTACAAGTTTTCTGCAGCTGTTGTAGAAAGTTGCCAAGAACTGGAATTTGGTTCTTGGTGGAAAGGTTAAAGCAAGAGCTGGAATTTGGTTCTTGTGTGTGGTGCCTGGAATTTGGGCACTGGTTTCTCTGCGGCTGGAATTTGGTTGCAGAGGTTTCCAAGAGCTGGAATTTGGTTCTTGGTGGAGAGTTAGAATAGGTGTAAGAGGGTGAGTCTGTAAAACATCTATTCTAGTGGAACCCAGCTGGAATTTGGCTGGAGTCTGGACGTAGCCCTGGTATTGGGTGAACCAGTATAAAATTACCGGTGAAATCTCTCCTAACCTTTCTCTCTTTAATTTCTGCTGCTGCACTTAAACTGTTTGATTGCTTTGTGATTTGTGAATTGATAAGTAATCTTAATTTTCGAATTAGATAATCTGTGTATTGCGAAAAACTTTCAAAAATCAATTCACCCCCCCTCTTGATTTAAAACTACTTTTCTAACAATTGGTATCAGAGCGAGGTGCTTGAAAGTTAATCAAGTTACTTCGAT